ATACTGATAATAATGAATCTCTTATTCGTCGGGTATTTTTCTGGTTATGTCTGTTGTGTGGTCTCCGGGGTGGAGATGCATATCGAATTTGCCAAAATGATCTTAAACGGCGCCGAGATGGTGGTTTGGAGCTCCTGTTGCACAAAGAAAAAAATAATCAGGGTGGTGCGTTTTACAGAAATAAATATGGTAAAACGGGTTCATGACATATCCCTATTCCTCCAGATTCATTAAACAACTGTTACACACCTGTGAAAGATATTATATTGTATTTGTCCAAGTTACCCGATTTAGATGTATTACAAGATTCATTATTTCATGAAACTTGTAAAAGCAAAAAAGATCAATGGAAAGGTAACTGGTACAAAACCAGCCCTATGGGAAATTCGAAACTCAAAAAAATGATGCACGATATTGTTGAAAATACTGAGATTAATCTTAGCAAAGGACGGCATATTACAAATCATTCTTGTCGCCATACAGCAATTCAACTTCTAAGAAATAATGAACTTTCTGAATCTGACCTTCAGGCTTTTTCTGGCCATCGTTCTCGCGAAAGCTTAGCTGATTACTGTCAGCTTGGTGAAGATTAGCGAATTAATAATACTGCAATACTGATTTCTTTTTCGTTACATGAATCAAATTTAGATGAGTATGATGATTATGAAGGTATGTGTTAATCCTATTTCTGCTAGTTTAAACAATTTAAAAAATTTTATTCTTACTAAAATTTTTTTTTTCGTTATATATATTTTGACAAGGCTCAACTGTAATCGAGGAACATCAGGAAGTTATATACATTTAAATTATTCGTTTACTTGTTCAAAAACTTTATTTTAATTAGTTTTTTTTTTTTTTTTTATACATTTACACTTAAAGGTTTAACTGAAATTGAGGATTATCAAGAAAGTATGTACTATTACTGCGCAATTTAAAAATTTGATTTTGATTGGATTTTTTTTTTCTATATTCGTATTTTGAAAGGCCCAATCGTTATTGAAAAGTATCAGGAAGGTACATTATAAATTTGCTTTGCTTAGATGATCTTATTCTAATTGAATTTTTTTTTTTAATATTTGAAAGTTTTAACCGTAATTCCAGAAGTAACGGAGGTCCCGAAAGTAATTGAAGCGAACCCGAAAGTATCTAAAGACCTGAAATTAGCTGAAGAGGACGCAAAAGTAGTTAAAAATCATCAAGAAGGTATGCATTATTAATTATGCATTTGCCCGGTTAAGACAATTTAAAAGAAATTTTTTTTTAATTAAAGTTTTTACATATTTTAATAGCGAATTCTTTGAAATCACGAATCTCTAAGCCAAAATCCCGTGACAAAAATGCATCGGTAATGGCCCCTTTCAAACCACCCATCAACCCTAATTCTCCACTTTTCAATTCATATCGCAAGAATAAAAGAAGTCTCTCTGACATCAGTAATAACATTATTATTAAACTTCCCGCAAGTACTTCGCCGCAGACTTACAATTTGAACATCAATTTAAAACTTTCATAGATTTATTTGACTTTTATGTAACTGTTCAAATTTGCTTAAATTAGACTAAAATTTGCTTACCGTATTTTCATATGCAATGTAATTGAAATTTGAATACTGCGTACATATAAAGTGTTCAAAATTTGTGTATCAAGTATATATGAAGTGTTCAAAATTTGTGTATCGAGTAATTTGAAAATGATCAATAATATATACGAAAAAGTTCAGGTGCGCACATAAGACATGCACAATAATCCTTAGTAATTGTTCACAATAATTTGGTGAGTACCCTTAAAAGTAACACTATTGCATCATTCGTTTATTAACTTTTGTTATCCATGTTTATTTCTTGTAAAAGAAAAGGAAAAGGTAGCAACACTTGTTAAAAAGTAAGTATATTTTAAACAAATAGTTCTGTTATAAATAACTACTATAAAATTTAGATTCTATTTAAATATTAGACTTCGTGAGGAAATCAAAATACTTGTGAATGAGCTTAATGAAAAAAATAATAAGATAAAAGAATTAGAGGAAAAATATATAAATTTAAATACGAAATATCATGCGCTTAAAAAGGATCACGATACTGGTGATGGTTATTATACGGAAAGTCGACGTTTGCTTGAAAGTGAAAATGCTGTATTAATGCGCCGCGTAAGTTTTTTTGCTTAATGTGATATTGAATACATTCACTGTATTTTAATATTTTATTATAGAATTTAGAATTTTTTGAGGAGATCGAAGCAACTAAAATAAGAAATAGCGAGCTAGAAAATAATCTACATTTATTACAGCAACAGGTAAAATTTTTTGCGGTAATAGATAACATTATACTGTATATCGAATACTTACTATATCTATTGTATATAGAATGTAGAATTATCTAAAGAAATCGCGACACTTTCTGAAGTTGTCTATATTATAGATTAATTGTTTAAAATGTTCTTTTGTCAGACTAACTACGTTTGAAATTTGACCGACTAAATACTATTTTGAAAAAATAAAGCTTTTACACATCAACTAACTGTTGGATAGGCAATTAGAGATATCAATCAATCGGATGT